CCATGCCCACTGACGTGTGCCATCTCTCCACAGACCAGGTGCGGCGGGCGGGCGGCAGGATCCTGGTGCACTGCGAGGCCGGGATCTCGCGCTCCCCCACCATCTGCATGGCCTATCTCATGAAGACGAGGAAGCTGCGCCTGGACGAAGCCTTTGATTACATCAAGCAGCGCCGGAGCCTGATCTCACCAAACTTCGGTTTCATGGGCCAGCTGCTGCAATACGAGTCAGAGATCTTGTCTTCCACCCCCAGCCCCCCTGTCACCTCGTGCAAGAGAGAAGCCGCATCTTTCTTTGCAGAGGAACTGACCTTAGGCAAGAACTTTGAGGGCTCGTGCTTTGCCTTTCCTACCTCAGTGTTGAGTTCTGTGCCCATCCACTCTCCTGTCCACCAGCTGAAGCTCAGCCCGATGACGGCGTCTTCGTCCTGCTGAACACCATGGGGGCCTGGAGCTGGTGTGGTCCTGATCCAAACTGTGATCCCCAACAAGAACATTTCATGAATGTGCAATAGAGAAACTTCATCCGCTTACTCTGAGATGGAGTGGTTGTCATGGGTCATACTTCCCATATGCTGTGACTGTAGGATGCAAGAGGTTTAAGCATGGCAGGTTTTCTGAACTTTTATTGTCCTTTTTTAAAAAAAAATACAAAGTGCTTTTTTAGGGTTTTAACCACACAAAGTGCACCCACTACTGTATTTCCAGATTCCTGGGGAACAATGAGAAATCCATTTAGTATGTTCTCAGTTCCCATCTCCTTCCAATCTTGTTTCTGAAAAGACCCTTACTTAAAGTTTCAAGCAATAAACAGCAGCAGCAGGGAAGCAAGCAAAATGAAAAGCACTACCTTTGCAACCACAGAGGTGGAGGGAGTGAATATTTGTTCGAATCTTTCTCTGGCTTTCCTCCTCCCCTCTCCTGTGTCATGCTTCAGGTAGCAAAGGGCTGGAGTGGGGAGGGGGAGCGCCTTTTCCAGGACACTGCTGCACAACCAGGTGAACATCCCCTCCTCTGCTCCAGCCTCCGAAGTGTCAGGAATTGTCCTCAGTGTAACTGGACACCAACCCCGGCCAGTGGGTCCATTCAGGTGTGGCATTTCCTGTACTTCTGTATTTGCCTTTGTACTGGATGTGCTTTTAAGTAAAGCAGGGACTTAAGGACTATCAGCTACCCTGCTGAGCTATTATCCTCCCATCTGTTTTTTAAGAACAGCCCTAGAATACTTGAATGTCTCAACAATCCTCATCACATCCACATCCCAATTGTAAAACACTGTAACTGCTGGACTTCACACCAAAAAAACCTGACAAGCTTTCAGCTCCAAAACAACTTTTTCTCCATCCCTTCCCAAGTGTTCCCACTGTGTATCGTGTATGGTCAAGTGGTCTTTTTCAGTGTTATGTGACTTGCTTAGAGTGTGTGGTCACCTCTAGTCAGCCTTTGTCCAGAAAAACATAATTTCTGTCTTGCTTACATTGGCTTCTGTGTCCACAGGGAGTTCAGAATGATTGTCTCTGTCTGTTGACCTTTTTAGTATTTTTTAATATGTAATATGTATGGGAAATGGCAATAATTTCCAGGAGATCTCGTGAATGTGAAAAAAAAAACCTCCAATGGTTTTTATGGTATGTAAAAAATAATAAAGGAAAAAAATGCCAGGAAAATAAAGCTGTTTGTTGTACTTGGATTGATCTGTGAGAGTGCTTTGGGAGAGCTTGGTGGCAGGAGAGGTCACCTGAGAAAAACACCATGGTGTAAAAGAGGTGTAAGAAGGTAGGAGAGATGGGAAAGTCTCACTGTGCTGCGTGCTGCAAAGCCAGCAAGGTGCATCACTAGAGAGGGGAGAAGGTGAGGGGGAGGATTGTTTCAAACAGAATGACATGAGTCACGGTGGCGTCACTTCCCAGCAGCCGGGCAGGCACTTCTGGTTTGATTCATGCGTGTTTTATTTAAGATTTACCATCTTGCTGAAGATGAAAATCTGAACTAGACACGGCCCCCACTTCCTTCCAACCCACAACAAGGGATCCTACTTGCCCTGGTCCTTAGAGCAAAGCCTGTGTGTGATGTGCAGCACCTCTGGGTGCCAGGAGCCAGGGCATGTGGGTAATACTCCTCTTTTCACTTTTGTAAATGAAAAAAAATTAGTTAGAAGAACCAGTATGTCTGATGCATTTCATACCCCTTTTCTTCTTGAATTTACTAGGCTTTTTCTGGCTCATCACTGCAGCACATTTATGATCTGCAATTCCAAATTATTGAGTTGAAAAATCTATGGCAATATCTGAGTTACAGAGCATGTGTGCACATATACATCTGTTCATAACTTCTTATCTCCAGGGCAGTAAATCTGACAGGTGAGAAGGTCTTACTGGAGATGTGCCTTGGATTTGTCACCCAGTGTCAGAAGGATGTGTCAGCAGCCCTGCCTGGGCTCTGCGAAACCTGAACATGGGAACCAGCAGCCAGGGAGGTAAGGCAGATGATCTAGTAAGAGCAGATCAATTAATTTTCTGAAAGATCTAATTGGTCCCCTTGGGAAACGCTGGCAAGAACTTTCTGCCTCTCAGCCCACACAAGCACCCAAGCAGAAAGGCTGTTGAGCTTAGTGAGAGTCCAGAGTGCTGAGACCTACAACCAGCCAACATTTCTCATTAAAACTGCACTGAACCCTTCTGGGTGGACAACCAGCTTTGTTTCTTAAGGATTGGAAACTGAAACCCTCAGCAAAGTCAGTGATGGAATATTTGCAGGGCTCAAGGCAGTGGTTGAAGGGGTTAACAGAGGAACTGCTGACCTTGACGTTTGACCAATTGACCAAGGCAGCTGGAAAAGATCACAGGCCAGGGGGAGGAGCCGGGTGTTGGCAGAGAGGGAGGGGAGCTCTTATCCTGGGCTGCAAGCACGGTGTGTTGGTGGATTGTGTTAGCAGGGGGAGATGCTGGGCTGGGATTCAGCAAGGATAGAAGGCCACAGCCCTGTGGGAGCCGGAAGAGGAGTTGTTGTCATGCCTGGACACAGGAGACTGATTATGTTTATGTTTATGCTCCTGCTCAGGGCAGGAGTCCCCTCTTCTTGGCTGGAGAGGTTTAATTCACCTCTCCTTCTTGCAAAAGGAAGTCCCAGCATCCAAGTCAGAGTGGGATGCAAGTGCTGCCTCCCAGAGGGTTGTGCTCCCATGCTCATGCTCTGCTGCTTCAGTGCTAGCGTGAGAGCTCTGGTCTGAGCACTGGTATCTGAAGGTGAGTGTGACAAATTGGGTAGCACCTACCTGGGAAAAGTCAGTGTGTTTGAAGTCACATATGCAGGGCAGGGCCCCTGGTTCTCTGCTTCCAGACAGCAGCACCCAATAGGTACCTTTGTCCTTGGGGAAAGGAACAGTTCCACACATGTTTTTGGCTTGTGCACTAAGGAAATTCACCAGATTTGGTAGGATGGAAGATTTAGGAGGCTTTTATAGCCCAGATGAGCTTGGGTTTGAGTGACTCATTGCTGAGGATGGAAGCTCAGATCAGACAGGTGTGTGGGGAATGTCAGAGCTGAAGGCTGGAAGGCTGAATTGGCTGGTTCAATGTGTCTGTGTCCATCTGCCTGCAAGGCTTCACAGAGGAATAGGGGCCTCAAAACCAAAATTCTGATGGAAAGTAGAGACTCTTTTAGCTATAACAGCAAAGAGAAGGCTGCCATCAGGATGCTTTCAGACTTTAGAAGAGGCAAATGAGGGAAAGATGGCAGTGCTGTACTCTGAGACAAAGCTTTAGATAGAGTTTATCCATTATGATACCCAGAATCCACAGAAGATGAGAGGAAATGTCAGAGAAAAGGAGATTTTTCAAGTTCTATGGAAGTTGTCTATGGAAGTGCTAGTTCAGCACTGTGCTGGGATGTGATATCTCTCCATTCACACTCCTGATGGTGCACCCTTGTGTCCTGGACAGCTGGGTGCCTCTCAGGACCTGTTTCAGATCCTGGGGTCTGAACAGGGCTTGTGCCATGGAGCTTTTGGTCCCTTGCTTTCAGTCTTGCAAGGAGCAGTTGTGTTGCAAGCAGGAGAGCAGTTGCTCAGCCTCTGGCTCTGCTCTGCACATGCTGCCTTCCCTTTCTGTCTTCAACACAGGCAAGCATTCAAGAAACTGCCACAAAAAATACATATCTTTACATCATTGCAAATCAGATTGTGAAGAAATCTAGGGTGGAGTTGGATGAGTGGGTGCTGTCCTTAAGTGTCCCTAAATGCCTTTTTAGTCCATACATTTGCTGGTGTGATTTGCAGTCTATTCTGGTTACAAAGCACAGGCTTTCTCCAGCTCCTTCCTGCCTAAAGATCTTTCCAATAGGTAGAAATTTCATCCTTACCAGTAAAACCCCTGTAAAACTGATCTGCTCTGTGGGGAGCTGCTCCTGAGGTGCCCATCCCCAGTTCCTGAGCACCGCAAGTTAGGGCAGCTCCTCTCAGCTTCTTGCCTTATGGTGGGAGCTTCTTTTTTTAGGAGACAAAGCATGAATGAAGAAGGTATTCTGCAGGCGTTGTCATTTGTATGCTAAAAACAACACTTGCCTTGCAGGGAAGTCAAAGGTCCAAATGTGCCTGTAACATGGGAAAAAAGATGTGTGAGGCCCCAGGTATGGTGAATTTGACCCTCTGTCTCCACTTTTCACAGTTTCATGTTAATTGGAGAGTAGACACACTGCCAGCTCACTCTCTGGGGAGAAAAAGGCAGGAACCAATTTGCAGAGCCACATAAATATGGAAGTAGGATTTTTTTTTCGACGTGGGAGGTGTTACCAGTACCACACGTTACGGTTTCTTGGCTTTATCACATCATAGGCTTTTACTGAGACATGAGTAAGTTTGCTAAATAGGAAATATGAAAATAGCTTGTGAAATAGGTTGAGTCATCAGAGAGAATCAAATGGAGTTCTGACACCAGGGCCTCAGTTGTAAAGTCCTACTTTATTTTACCATTGCATTAGAAACTTTGGGGTCATTTCAATCTTTTTGTTTCAACTTCAAAATTTAAGGTACTCTGACATCCAAGTAAAGCTTTCTAAATCCATTCATGTTTTCCATCAGCAGTGGTGATACATCCCTGTGTCCTGCCTACGAACACTTGCAGGGAATGTAAAAGTTATCAAGACAAACAGCTTCTGCAGGAATAGCTGAAATGCTCAGCACTTCTTCCAGCCTTGTCCAGCTATGGAGAAGTCTGGCCCCTAGACATCCCTTTCATGTACTAGCCTGTGGAAGTCACTGGCTGTTATTGTAGCTTCTGGGAATCCCAGCAGGACACCAAACAATCCCATAAAGGCAGCAACTCCAGATCAGGAGTGACCATGGTAGATAGAAAGGGGGAAAGATCCTCAGGGACAGCATTGCCTGTGGAGTCCCACATTTCTGTCAGGGATTGTTCTCATATCCCAGAATGTGACCTGTGCTGGGCAGATCATGGGTGGAAAGCATCCCTAGGACACAAGCTCTCCTGGGAGCCATGGGATCCATAGGACACGCTCTGCATGAGAAATGGGAAATGCCTTTAATATAAATCCTGCCCCAGCCTCAGCCCAGGCCAGCTGCAGTCAGGACTAGGACTTCAGAGCAGGCACCACACAAAGGTTTGTGATCTGTTGGGACTGTTAGAGGCTCAGAAATGAAAGGCAAACTGATAAAGGCCTCAATTTGACCTTCAAACCCCCTTGGCATAACCGTTTTTCCACATTTGGTTTTCTAAACCAATCACGTTAGTGAAGCTAAACATTTGAGTAAGTGTTAGTTGGACCAGGTTTATGTCTCCCAAGTGACATGACAGTGTAGTTTTTATGGGCTCTCTCTTTTTTTGGGGAGGGGGGTTGGGGGTTGTCTGTGTGTGAATAGTGGTTTATTTCTGTCACAGTGATACTCCATTTCTGAGATCCCTTTGTTAAGCAGACAGTGGGTGAGTCATCTCTGGTTATTAAATTGCCCATACATTGTGAGCTGCCTCCAGGCCCTGAACCAAAGCCTATTGGTGGGGAGAAGAGCTCCCAAACACAATGGGATTTGGATCAGGCCCTGGATTAATCTTTCCATTAAATCTTTATTTTAAGGAGCCGTTAGTTCTAATTGGACCTAGGACTTGCTTCTGCATTGAAATGGCATTTGAGGTCTCCAGGACTCAACTGGAACAACGGGTATATCCTCTCTGCTCTAATGCCGCCCATCACATTAAGTTAACTGGAAAATCAATTGACACGAATTCCAGCATGACCATTAACTCCCATCCATCTGGCTGGGCCCAGGGTAAGAGATTCCTGACAGGGATGGAGCAGAGCTGTGCTCATCTCCTAGATATGCTTGCAGCCCGAGGTCTCCCCAGCAATGCCCACATTGCCCTGAGTAATCACTGTGGCTAACAGAGAGCCCAGGCTCAGGCAGTCTGGGATCGCTTGTGGGCTCTCCCTGAGGATTTCAGGGCAAGTGATGCAGCCGGTCCTGCTGGCACAGCCACGTTTGTCAAAAGCACAAAGGAAGTGAGTGAGACCTGGACTGACCAAGCTGACCAGATGGGTCCCTTGAGAATACAGAAAAGGACTATAGCAGCAAAACTGTGTTTTCCACAGGACAGCTCACTTCTGCAGAGGATATTTCTGCTCTGTTGGTAAAACAGAGCTGTGCTGATGTGGCTTTGCTC